CCCCAAGTAATCATGTAAGCTAACTTTTGATTCAGAATTGATGATAAATAAAAATAGCAAATGGATATTAAATGTGGTTGATTTGTGTTTTTTCTTCTGACCCTTATGTGAGATAATGAAATAATTCCTGTAATGTAGAAGTAATAGTTTTGTAGGATAGAAACATTGAATTATCTTAATTATATTGGGCCTGCAGTCTATCAAAAGATAAGAGAGAGTTCACAGAGAACAACTGTTCAAATAAGTATTATTGTAAGAACTCCACAAACTAGAATCAATATCTATTTCATGAAATAATTTTGAAAAAATAGACATTGGCATAGCTCTAGAAAAACAATTACCAGGTCTAATAATAGTAAATAAATAGTATCAAGTATGTAATGTTCTATTAGTGGGAAGCAAATTATTTTTCAATTGGACAAGAAGGTTGGGTAACCACATAAACTCTTTAAGAGAATATGGCGACACAATTTCACTCTCCATTAACAACCATTTAGGCTGATTTTGTTTTATATTAAATTGGGGTAGGAGAACAGTGGACTGGGAACTTGAAGGCAAGGAGATTGCCTGCCTCTACACCTCTCTATCCCCAGTAGGTCACAGCAGAGAGTCTCTAATCACCGGCAGGACATAGGATCATGTGAAGCCTCTAATCATTTCTCTGACAAACCAGGGGTTATGATGATACTTGGTTACTTGATGGTGAGCGTTGGTTCAAGTTGGCAGGAATCAGCACCCCAAAATCAGCTCAAAATACAGGAGCTCAGGCTCTGCATGTCTACTCCGCTCAGATGTCAGGCTCTGCCCTTTTCTAATCTCTTTAGTCATCAATGCTAAAGATGGAGAAGGAACAAATGTATTTGTCTGTTTAATGAAATTGAGGCAATAGTTAGCAATACTTCACATCTGTGTATATATAAATACCCAGAAATTGTGTATGTGTGTGTGTGTGTATATATATATATATATATAAATATATATCTGTGTGTATATATTTCTCCACTGGGGAATGTTCAATCCAGGACTCTGCTGCACGGGTCCAATATAATACCACATTTAACATCCTATGAATGAGGGGTATTCTATTAGCGATATATGGTTTAGCAATTGAATACCTACCTAGGCTATTTGCCTCTTCCTAACCCCCCCCCCATTATTACCCTTTCTGTCCCACATCTTACCCCCTTCTCTCTCATATACATAGGAGGAAACAGAACTATTTGCTGCACTGTTGGTTTATACCATTGTTTATCTGACAGTGGGCTAAGCAAACTAATAAGGTTTAATGGTATAAGATTTCTAATAATTTTCATCCGATACTACATAGTGTCTTTCTAACAAAAGCGCCCCCACCCACACGAGCGGTGTGCCAATCTAAATTTTATTGCATCCAAATAAGTACATCACTCCCGTTCCCCCCCAGCCTCTAGACTGGGAGACACACAGGTCAAACACTGTCTCCCTTTTTTGACACAGTACGCATCAGTATTATTATAGTTAGTAATCTTTTATTCCAGTTGAATAAGTTTGCTTTGATTTAATATATTATTGTTTCCTTTATTTTAATTTAACTTCATGAAATTGAGAGAGACTATTGTACAGATTTGGGGTTCCTGAAAGGCAAACCTCTGTTTGTACAAACCATGGGAAAACAACTGAAGATAGTCTCACATAATGCTAAAGGCAATTTTAAAAAATTTCAAGAATTAAAAAAAATTAAAGCAGACATATAGTGTTTGTACAGGAGACACATTTCTGTGGCGCAGAGGCGCCTAGATTTAGACACAGACAATTCCCCCTAAGTTACTACAACAATTATACCAGCAATAAATCAAGGAGGGGTGGCCATCTTAGTGGGTGCACAAGTCCCCTTTACTATATCCAACAGATTAGTGACAATTCAGGAAGGTATGTCATTTTAAACGGTCTGGTTGGGATGCCCCCAATCACCCTGGTCAACGTATACCTACCGAACAAACATCAGTATGCCTCACTTAGACGCATATTGGTGATATGCCACCATATGGAAGGGATTCGCATAATAGGAGGGGATTTCAACATGTCCCTAGATGCACACTGGGACAGCACTGCAAAAAACCCAATCTATATGGCTTCCACTAGAACACAGATGCACAAAATACTCCATGAGGGTCAACTCATTGACTGCTGGAGGGTCTTTAACCCAAATACGAAAGATTACACATTCTACTCTAACCCAAACCGAACCTACACGTGCATTGATTTATTTCTCACGTCACATAAAGACTTATCACACATATGTAGTGCCCATATAGGTAATAAAAAATGGTGTGATCATGCCCCTATCTCCATTGCGGTGACCATTCCGACCTTACCTACACCCAAATACCAATGGAAATGAAACCCCCACTTGTTACTAAATCCATCAGTACGCAAGGAGATAGCAACCTCCATTACCAACTATTTCCAAATCAATAAAACTCCTGATATCACCTACTCCACACAATGGGATGCACATAAATGTGTAATTAGGGGAGAATTAATCAAATGGGGCTCTCACTTAAAGTGAGAGAAATCCAAGACTAGGAAATCAAGGAACCTGGAAAGCACCCATAAAACATCCCTTTCAGACGCAGAGTATGGTAAATTAACAAACTTCCGATCTGAACTCAAAATACTGCTAAATGACAACACCAAAAAAGCACTACTATGGACCAAGCAATGCTACTATGCCCATGGCGATAGATGCAGTAAACTCTTGGCCTCAGCACTAAGAACACAACATCATACATATATACCCAAAATCAGACACACAGACGGCAAAATGGCACACACGGAAGATGATATTGTCGGGGGGCGTTTCACAACTTTTATCACTCTCTATACAACCTACATCACTCCCCTCCAGATGGAGACGCCATGAGGGCCTATCTGGAGAAAAATCTAGACAGGAAGGTATCACAATTGGACTGCCAAGTATTAGATACCCCATTCACACTAGAGGAACTTCAGTCTGCCATTCACACAACCCCCCACAATAAAGCCCTTGACCCGATAGCTTTTCGGCGGCCTACTACAAGGCCTACATCGCCGAACTCTATCCACACCTAATGGTGTCTCTGAACTCCCTAAAGCCTGGCACCACCCTCCCATCTTCTAACTTGGAGGCTATTATTACAGTGATACCCAAACCTGGGAAGATATATTGTAGATATCAAATTGTTCACTAAGATGATGGCATTGGGGTTGAGGCCACTCTTACAAGATCTGATACACCCTAATAAGGCTGGGTTTGTCCCGGCCAGAGAGGCCAAGGACAACACCACCAAGGTTATACATTTGATCCAGGAGGTGCGGGGAAGGGCATTGATGCTGAGAAGGCGTTCGACAGGCTGGACTGGCCCTTCCTCATACTAACACTGGATACGCTAGGCTTTAGCCCCAGATTGCTGGCGTGGCTAAACACCATCTACTCTAATCCAATGGCCCACATCAAGGTAAATGAAATATTATCGAATGCACTATCTATCATGAATGGCACTCAGCAAGGATGCCCCTTGTCCCCCCACTCTTCATCCTGGTTTTAGAACCATTTCTCCAAGCAGTGCGCAAAAATGACAATTTCGGTGGTATCACACAGTGTCGGCATTCGCAGACAACCTTCTATTTACACTCACTAATCCGACATGCACTCGCCCATATCTAATGTCGGCACTAACTGAATACAGCACATACACCAACTTCAAGATAAATGCTGAAAAATGTAAGATTCTCAAACATACTGTAGGGGCGAAAGAGGTGGAAAGACTTAAGAGAGACTTTCAATTTCATTGGGATCCGAAATCCATCAAATATCTAGGAATAAATATCACTGCATGAGCTACAGAATTATACCATTCGAATTTCCCCCAACTCATAGACGCAATACAAAATGATTTGCACAAGTGGGACAAACCCCACTGCCGCACGAAAGACTGGACCACCTGGGAGCTGGAGTGTGCTGGTAATTAGCCTCCCAGAAGCTGCGGTTAACTGCAGCTTAATTGACGAATACTGGGTGGCCGCCATTCGTATCACGAACACGAGGTCGTGGCCATTTTAAACACGCGAACGCACAGTGGTGTTCGACGCTTAATTCATGGAACTAAAAACGGAAACAGTTTTGAGCGAACACCGCTGAAGCCGCCAACCTCCCTTCTTGTTCGGTGAAAGTGCACGAACGGCCCGGTGTTCGGTAGTTTTAATTGACTATGTTATACCCCAGATAGGAATCCCATGGAGCCCTTTCGCGTGAGAACTGACTGTGTAAAGACTTTGGCTCCATGGCGATTAAACTGTATTCGTGTTGTCTGAGCGCCATTCGCTTAATAATGTGCGCTCAGACCTGAGCTATCTGGGGACCTGTTAAATGTATAGTTTTATTGTAATGTGTCTCACATAGTGTATTTTAATAGTAATTCATGTTTTAGTATCCCCACATGCATAATGGCGATTTGCCTTTGTCTTGGGAGATAATTGAATTACTTCTCAATTATCTCCAAGGCAGAGGGGAGGAATCCAGGATGCATTGTGGGAATATAATGTGACTGTGTGTCCTATTTGTCTACTTGTCTGTCTTTTGTCACAGTCTCCCCTAGGGGAGTGTCCACCAGGTGGGAGACCTGCATAAATACTGGGCAGGTAGCCCTCATTAAACAGACCACTGCTTGACCCACAACACGGAGCCTTGTCTCGTTTTTGGGGGGATTTACTGAATGCTGATAGAGACTGATTGCTAGGAGTGTAAGCCGCTTGGATGCTTTTCCTATTCGTCTGCTAGCAGCGATTCGTATGGTTCCAGTTCGTGAGTTTGGAGTGTTACATTGTATGCCGTTCGGGAGTTTGGAGCATTCCCTTATTTGCGGTTCGGGAGTTTGGTGTTCTATAGTAGCTGTGCCTGCATCTCTGAAAAAGGGACGATTGCCTAAACGGTTTTTACCCCTTGTGTGCAAAACGGTCCGTTACAGGTAGGATTACCGGACATGCTCCACTATGACTACGCCATACATATGGCTAGAATATTGGACTGGTCAATACAACCTCCAGCCAAGCTCTGGATTACCATAGAACATGCGGCTTCACATACTCCACTAGAGGCCCTCCCCTGGGCATACACAGGAACAGTGGACTTTCCAACTCCCAGATATCACACCATAGGAGCTACCATAGCAGTTTGGAAGAAAATAGTTCATCTCCCAGACGTGTCCCCAGGGATATCACAGAGATACCCCATATTACACAGTATCCGGTTCCCAGTGGGCGTAAAAGGTCTCAATCTACCAATCTATACAAGTCCAATTAGACAACCTGCCATACATACCACTAGACAGTGTCTGGGGCATGTGCGGACAAAGACAGCTGTCAGACCTATCTCAGGTAACACCACACCCTCTGTCACAGACATTTTAATACTTCCAATTGACACGCTTTCTCAAAACCCTCAATATCCCTGAATGGTCACTTAGAGAACTCACTAAGTTTGAACAGATGTGCTCAGACAAGACAGTGGTAGCTAAAGTAACTTCCAAATGCCTCAAATTACTCCAAACACACATACACAAAGGTCTTCCCTACTTTACATGTAAGTGGGAACATTACCTAGGCTATACACTTGGAGAAAATGAATGGGAAGTGATCTTTTGTAGAACTTTTTATGCTCACACATGTGTCTCCCTCCACAAGGCTAACTATAAGTTGATTTAGGCTTGGTACCGCACCCCACACAATATACAGAGATTTCACCCTGGCACTCCTCCACTTTGCTGAAGATGTAGGGGGGGCTGTGGGGATATGGGTCACATGTGGTGGCATTGTAAGAAACTGCAGCCCTTTTGGGATTTGGTGCATTTCAAGGTAAAGGATGTCACTGGCTTGGTCTTACCATGAAATGGACACCCTACTACTCCTCAATATAAAGATGCCACTAAAAAAATTCAAACATTCCCTATTGTTCTTTATGTTGGTAGCAGTGAAGTCGGTGATAGTGAGTAACTGGAAGTCAAGGCTTTCGTGTAAAGCTGAAAAGCAGTCAACATTTTTATCTTTCAATATGGATTTTGCTCTAAACAAATGAAAACTAATAAAAAATCTTGATATTTAAATACTATGAAAGGTAATCATAGAGATTGCTTGCTTTAGTTGTCAGATAAAGCACTGGTATAAATTGCTGGGACCTGAAGGGATCTCTGGTTTATGTTATATAACTTTTATATTGATATATACATATATAGATATACAAGTAATGCCAATGCCAGTAACCAACGTCATGCTGATGAGTTGCAGTAACAACAAAACACATGTCCATAAGTGGTTCACTGGCTTTGCATCTCTTCCTGAGCTGTATTTCAACGCTGATGTATACAGCAAACATCTCTGTCTAAAATGGAATGAGGCAAAAATTTGATTCCTTGTTGAACTAATTTGCATACGCCCACCCAGAATCCTTTGCATTAGTAACATCACTGCAAATTTGTGATTTCTGTGGGAAAAGCAAGTCTTATGATTTGACTGGTCTGCAGATTTATGTTAGACATTGTCTATCCACTAGATAAACACACATATATATATATAAATTTGGCCTGAGCCCTCCTAAAAGCCCAGTTTCCATATCAGTTAAGGCATGTTTCAGCCACATCTAGCATACACAAAACTCTTTAGCAAGTGCTAATAATCTTGTGATAGCCATGTAATAGTAAAATACATGTTATTTAATGCAGTATGTGGGATACAAATCTTGTTAAAAAAAAAATCTAGCATATTGCATTCTGCTGATTTTTCTTTCTTCTTTCCTTTTTATAAGCAGTGTATTTAACCCCTTAAGGACCAAACTTCTGGAATAAAAGGGAATCATGACATGTCACACATGTCATGTGTCCTTAAGAGGTTAAAAGCAAGTGAATACAAATATCAAGGGGATTGAGTTAACTAAATATTTTTTTATTCTTAAAATCAAATAAAAATGTACATTTAGAAAAATATGTGAATGTAGTAATACATGGGTAGAAAACACAGAACAGAGTGAAATAAAAAGGTCAGAGAAAGAAGGAGACGTGGCTACTGTCAAGGAAAGTGACATCCACCCACATACTCAGCTGATAAATGTCCATGGAATGGATAATGACCTGGACCAAGAATCAATCATTGGCTTGCTCTTTGATCTCTGTAGTTAAGCATGGTATAATATATTTGATCAATAATATTAAATAATAATATTCAAACTCATTACTGTGTATCTAGAATTAACAAACACATGTTAAATTCTGACGTATTTTTGATGCATTTACAAATTTTTGTAAATAATCATAAAAATATGTGTCATCTTTAAATTCATATGCTCATTTTATTCTCTGTCCTCTTTTTCTGTCAAATATGTCCATCATATTACAGGCAAGAGCGTAAAGTTGTAGACTAGCATATATTGTTCTTGATGAGAATATAGGTGAATGTCTGTGTTTATTGCTCAATGCATGTAAAACAAATTATGTGGCTATTATGGTTACAGTTATGGTGTATTTTCCCAAATTGCCAACTTATTCCTTATGAAGAAATGGGTTCTATTATGAGCACAGATCTATTAAGTGGTTGATCAAAGCAACCCATTCCTTAGTAGGACATTTTGTTTGGAAAGATATACTAATGCATTGCATATATATAGTACTTATTTTGGCAGCTGGAAGAGAGATGCCGAAGCAAATGGTTTGTTAAGGCTAATACAAGTAGACAGTGTAGAGCCACCATCTACAATTGCAGTAAATAATTTCTAATATGAGAACAGGGTTAAGATTTAATTTTCCAGGGGGCTTAACATTGAATTACGTGAATTAAACATCATGCTCGCATGGTATGGTCGTAAACTCAGGTTATCCATTTTGACAGAGAATATGAGGAGCATAACTGACTACATTGGAGCAAGTTGTTCAATGTCCAGAGTTAGCAACCTTAGCAATAGAACCCAAAAGGAATTACATGTTTATATCCATAGACTGAACAAAGACTTGTTTCAATCAAGTTCAGTCTTTTTCACATCTGTTTCTGCGGTTAATCCTATTATTATTATTATTATTATTATTATTATTGCCATTTATATAGCGCCAACAGATTCCGTAGCGCTTTACAATATTTTTATGAGAAGGGGATTTAACTATAAATAGGACAATTACAAAAAACTTACGGGAACAATAGGTTGAAGACGACCCTGCTCAATCAAGCTTACATTCTAGGAGGTGGGGTGTAAAACAAAAACCCCAATTTGAAGATCCGTCCTTGGGTCACATCTCCCCTTGGATCAAGAAGGTGTTAAAATTTATTAGCCTTTCTTCATAACTAAAATCTTTCATTCCAATGTAGCCCGCCTCTGCACTTTTTCTAGTACCATAATATCCTTCTTTAGAACAAGTGCTCAAAATTGCACAGCATATTTAACCCCTTCAGGACGGGTGACGGACGAGGTCCGTCACGCAGGGGAGACCCTTAACGACGGGTGACGGACCTCGTCCGTCACGCGGTAAAATTAACCCCGGATCGCCGCTATCGCGGCGATCGCGGGGTTAATGGTGCTCCCGGTATGCCTCTGCATTGGAGGCATACCGGGAGCACCCGGTCAAGCTGCCCAGCACATGTGCTCGCTCTGACCACAAGTCGGAGCGAGCACATGTGCTCTGTATACTCACCTACCGGCTCCCTGCACTTCCGGGTTCTGTGTGAAGTGCAGGGAGCCGGATCAGTGCTGATCCTGCCCCCTGCTGTTAAAAAAAATAAAGTTTATTTAAAGTGTCCCCCCTTACCCATTTTAATAAAAAATTAACCCCTTCCCTGCCAATTGATCACTGACTACAGTGATCAATTGGCAGGGATTACATTTTACTATGATCTGATTTTTTTTTTAACCCCTGGGGTTAATTCTTTTTTTTTTAACCCTCAGGGGTTAAATTAATTAAATTAATTAATTAAATTATTTTTAAATTATATATTTAGATAGCTGGGGTAGGTGGAAGTTAGTGGGGAATTGGGGGATTTGACGTTAGGCTAACTAGGGGTTAACGTTAAAAAAAAGTTTTAAAAGAAACTTTAAAAAGTTAAAAATTAAGCTTAAAAAAATGTTTTAATAACATTTAAGTAATAAAAACAAAAAAACACACTTTACCTAGTCCAAATAAAAATTAACCCCTTCCCTGCCAGTCGATCACTGCCTACAGCGATCAAATAGAGATCACAGTATTATACTGTGATCTAATTTTTTTTAACCCCTGAGGATTAACTTTTATTTATTTTTTAACCCTCAGGGGTTCAATTTATTTAATTAATTAATTTAAATATTTTATAACTATATATTTTGCTAGCTGGGGTGGGTGGGAGTTATGGGAAAATGGGGAATTTACTGTTAGTGCTGCGTACTGCTAGTTAGGGGTTAACAGTAAAAAAAATAGCTTAGAAAAATGTTAAATCTGTAAAAAAGTTTTAAGAAAGTTTAGGAAAGTTTAAAAAAATTTATAAGCAAAACAAAAGTTTAAAAACTAGTTTTTAAAAGTAAAAAAGTTATAAAAAGTAAAAAAATACATTTTAAAAACGCTCATTACCACTACACCTGGAACAAACTAGAGAAAAAATTATCCCACGCCAAGGTTCAAAATATGCCTTTTGAATTACCCCAGGGTGTATTCTTTAATAAATAGTATGTGTTTGTGGGGAAGTCTCAATAACCAACCGTCTAAACTATTCCAAATTGGAACATGGACACAGCGTAAAACTTCAAAGTTAGAAAAAAACTGAATGGCTGCGTCTCAAATGCGCCCCTTCAACATCCACATATACCTGGCAAAGGTACATACGGGGGTATTGCTGTACTCAGCCGACATAGCTGAGCAACATATGAAGTATTATACAGTCATAGTACACATAAGGTTTGCAAAATATGCTGCGCAAACTCACTTTGTATGTCAAAAAAGCAGAAAAAATGCTTATTACCACTACACTTGGTACAAGCTAGCGGAAAAATGATCCCACACTAAGGTTCAAAATATGCCTTTTGAAATACCCTGGGATGTCTTCTTTAAGAAATGGTATGGCTTTATGGGGAATTTGGATTATATAGCCTGGTAAAATACTCTAAAATGGGACATAGGCACAGCATAAAAATTCAAAGTTTGAAAAAAACTGGAATGGCTGTGTCCCAAATGTGCCCCTCCGATGTCCACACATACCTGGCAAAGGTACATACGGGGGTATTGCTGTACTCAGCCGACATAGCTGAGCAACA